GCTAAGCAAGACCCCATCTCTAAAAATTAATTAGTAATTTTTCAAAGTCATGGTTCCTGTCCTCAAAGGAGCTCATGGCTCCCTGGGGAAGACAGATATGTCAACAAGCAGATGCAGACCAAGCTGTGAGCAACTCCACTGCAGGAGGCCAGGAAACTGAACTGGAAGGCTGAGGCTCCTCAGGCTGAAAAGGAGGGTGAGTGAACAGCAACAAGCGCAGTGTGGAAGGCAGTGCTGAGTACAGCCAGCTTGAAGAAGTTCAGAACCACTGGGACTTGGGTACAGACGGTGTGGCAGCTATGGAGGATGAGGCGGACGGCGGGATGGGAACAGACTCAGGAGGGCATACAGGTGGGAGATCCAGAGGACAGGGCCAAGGCAGGACCCTAGACCAGAGGGAAGAGAGCTGGAAACACACGCCACGCAAGTGGGAAAGCCAGGAGGGTCAACGAGGCCACCTAAGAAGGCAAATCCTGAAAGAAGGGGGCTTGTGAAAAAAGTGACCCGAGACCACCCAAGGAACCCACACTGGGATTCCAGGAGGGCTTGGTCACAGAGGGGTTCTTCACAGAGGGGCTGTTCACAGAATACAGGCAAATCACATGCATCCCAGATGCACCCAGGAGGATACCTTGATCCTAGGAAGTTAAGGTGGCAGTGAGCCACAGTCACGCCACTGCACTCCAGCCTGGCCAACAGAGCAAGACTCTATCTCAAAAAAAAAAAAAAAAAAAAAAACATGGCGGTATCTTTTAAAACTTCAGAGGTCTAAACCACAACCAAGAGTGATGGAATTACAACATTGAGAGATGGGACTCTGGTACTGGTGCTTCTGCACACTATCCAGGTGATTCTAGGGGTCAGCCAGAACTGGAAACCTTTGTTTCAAGGAAAAGTCCTATTTAAAGTCCTAGTACACCAGGGATTCCAATGCATCACAAACTTAACATTAATGATGGTAGGGAAGTTATTTCTCTGCAGAATATTCTCTCTCCCCCAGTCTTTTTCCATTTCTTGAAATGTGGTTTTAGCTACAAACTATTACAGGTAGAAAATGTATGGTCTATATTTAAAATTTGTCCCCATATCTCCTTCTAAATCTTCTACCCTACATAGGGTTTCTCTTTCCATCAGACAATGGGAGTCTTGGGCCCCACAAGGAAGGTGACAGGTAGCACCAGGCTCTCACTTCCCTCATCAGTAGTGAGGAGAAATGGGCCACCTAGCAGTTTGACATCCAGCCTACTTCGTGTTTAAGGGACAAAAACTATGCATGTGACATACAGTGTGGGATCCTGGATTGGATGAGAGAAAAGGAAAAGGATACTGGTGAAATTTGAATAAGATTTGTAGTTTAGTTCATGCACCAGTGTTCATTTTTGAGTCTTAATACACGTGCCATGATTATATAAGCCCTTACCTTTAGAGGCAGCGGGGTGAAGGGAACTCTGTGCTGTCTTTGCAGCTTTTTGATAAAGCTATAATTATTCCAAAATAAAAAGTTTATCTGAAAAACATTTACACGCACACCGTTTATGGACCTGGACTTTTGCAGAGGTAAACAGCAGAAGACAAATTGCCTGGGCTTACACTTTGGCTCTGCCTCTTCTGAGTGAGCATGGTCAAGTGACTTACCTCTCTGCTGCTTCCATTAGCTCATCTGTAAAATGGGACTCCACCTTCTAGGATTGCTGGAAGGGCAGATGAGATTATGACTTTAACCGCTCAATACCATGCCTGGCACAGAGTCACTGAAGGAAATCAAAAATAGGCCACTCCAAACTATGCTGCTTTGTAATATTGATTATTTTGAGCTGTAGGCACTTGAAAAACAGCAAGAGCAAGGACAGGTTTTCTCTGAATTCCCTTTATCTGCTCAACAACAGATGCTCCCAAAGGAACTCAGTTGTCATGAATTGCCATCCCGGAAGTTTATCAACCAGAGAAGACGGATTCATATTGCAGACAGAAGACTAGGAGTTGACACCACACCCAGACAAACTTTGCCACAAACTCTCCTATCTTTCATCTGCTGTTCTAACAGCACATTTCTAAAAATCTCAGCCTACATCCTCCTCCCCTTTCCCTATGAAAAGGGTATATAAGCTCTCAAATCTCACCACTTTTTGGGGCATTCACTATTTTTTCCTGTTATGTCCCCATGCACATAATATTAAAAATTAATAAATGAGCTGGGCATGGTGGTGCACACCTGTAATCCCAGCACTTTGGGGGGCCAAAGCAGGTGGATCACCTGAGATCAGGAGTTCGAGATCAGCCCCTGTCTCTACTGAAAATACAAAAAATTAGCAAGGCATGGTGGCAGTGGGCATCTGTAATCCCAGCTACTTGGGAGGCTGAGGCAAGAGAATCGCTTGAACCCAGGAGGTGGAGGTTGTAGTGAGCTGAGATCGTACCATTGCACAGCCTGGGCAACAAGAGCAAAACTTCGTCTCAAAAAATAATAATAATAATAAATGTCTATGCCTATTCTCCTGTTAATCTGTCTGTTGTCAATTTCATAGACCCAGCTATGGAACCTAGAGAAGAGGTCTCTTCCCCTGTATTGCCATTCAATAACTAGAGTTATTTTCAACTCATGAATGAAGATGAGAATATCCTCCTGAAGGAAAGGCACCTGGACCTGACCATCAGGGAGGTGGTGTTCAAGGCCAAGCTAAACCATGGAAGCCTCAGCTCTGACCACAAGCTTTTTCTTTGTACTGATGAGGTTCCTCAGGGGGCCAACATGATCTACACACACACACACACACACACACACACACACACACACACACACGAGAGCCCAGCATGGGATCACATAGACGTCTACGTTCTCCATTAACCAATACAGTCTCAACTCTCTGATCCAATTTTTTGTGTTCTGTTTTCTCTTCTTTTTATGTCTGAATCTCTCTTTCCCAGCTGAAGCAGGTGGTTGAGGAATTCAGTAGCAAAAGATTCATAAACCATGTGGAAGGGTATGCTTTGAAAGGCATCAAGCAGACTCTCTCCAGCGTGATATTAATTCCCCTTAACAATTGTCTTTTTCTTTTTGTGTAAAGTGCTACTCCAAAATCTGATCACCATCTGAACCCCCCTCAAGACTGCTGCTAGCTACAGATGGGTGTCTCTAATGAATTTTTTAACTGCTGTCCTAATAAAATATGGATGAACCAGAAGGAGCCCGCTGTGTAGCTGTTATTTCAAAACAACTAAACAACTTAAGTTTCTGCTCTTCTTTTTTGCAGCAAGGAGCTGCAAAGTCTCGTATCTGCCCTAACAAAAGATAGCTTCCTTCATGCGAGCCCATCTGTAAAGTGCACAGTTACCTTTTTAATGCTATATTTATGCATGGGCTTATTTTCAGGGCTTTCTAAATGTCCTACTTTGCATGCCAACTTTGACATGTGTTTATTTTTAAAATGATCCCAAATTTTCAGTATTTCACACAGAAACGGCAAGCTGGAAACTGGAGCATCTTTTAAGTAAGTTCCTACTTTGGACTAAATCTTATGACACTCAGAACATAAGCCCACATCAAAGCTTTGTGCCATTTTAAATGCCTGACTTTCAAAAGGAAACCATTATACAATTGCAAACGTCCTGCTCTATGGTCCTACTGAAAAACAAGGGAATATTCAGTATTTTTTTCCATGTTAGTATTGGAACATGGTGCAGTGGTGTGAGGGAATACAAATATCGGCATAACACGACTCCTATGTTACAGTGATCCACACTCTCAATAAGCTGATGTTATAACGCCCTGCTGCTGTATGCAGAGGGGCAGGCGCTGAGCGTGACCTGTAACTTACCTGGGTCTGAGATGTAAGAAAACATTTATAATAGAATACAGTTGTCCTTTATTTATACCTGAAGACTCTTCTATTATAAAATTTCTCTAATCTCATTTCATATAGAGACACTATATATAGTTTGCAAGGTTTGTTTGTTTGTTTGTTTGTTTTGAGATGGGGTCTCACTCTATCTCCCAGGCTGGAGCACAGTGGCACAATCTTGGCTCACTGCAGCCTCCACCCCCGGAGTTCAAGCAATTCTCCTGCCTCAGCCTCCCAAGTAGGCGAGATTACAGGCATGCACCACCACGCCCAGCTAATTTTTGTATTTTTATTAGAGACAAGGCTTCCCCATGTTGGCCAGGCTGGTCTCAAACTCCTGACCTCAGGTAATCCACCTGCCTCAGCCTCCCAAAGTGCTGTGATTGCAGGAGTGAGCCACCGCACCAGCCTTGCAAGTTTTAAGAGGCCATGACTACATACAGAAAGCTCAATTCTGTCTAATGAAATCAAACAGCATTAGCATTTGGAGTTGGTGATAACTAGACAGGGCTGGACTGAAGTTAACCTTTGTGCTGCCGACAAATAAAGAGGTTGTTTAAACTGATTAATACCTTGTGTAAGACGACAGTGAGAACACTTAAGATGTTTAAGAGAGCAAACTGTTTTCAAGTACTCATTTGCAGTCAAATAGTGCACACTAATTATAAAGGATTCTCATCTCTTCTTGCCTTTGTAATGCCTCTTCACTACAGAATCATCTTGAACAAAGCAATACATTTGACTGTTAAGAATAAGTCTCCGGGGATGCTTTAATGCTTAAATATCTGAAGTGTGCTTTAGTTACGACAATGTTTTCTCATTGTGGAAAGCAACTAAACATTTTTATTAAATGCCTCTTAACAGCTTTTGTATTCAAAGTGGCATATTTTCTGATTTTTAAATTATTAAAATGAGGTGCTACTGTCTCCACTAATCACTCCTCTCAGATAGATATCACTTAAACTCTCAGATCAGGGCCATCTGCTAGAAGAGGCAGGAAGCAGAGGCGCTGGCTGCTCCCCTGAGGGCTGGGATTTAGAATTGAGCAATGATCTGCTCTTAGATATCTCAGCCAGGCACAGACCAGCAGGGAGCTAGGTGTCCACCTGGTTGGAAACCAACCAAGGGAAAATCACTCATGTAGTCCAAGGCAGTGCTTACCAGGGAGATGAGTGTCCCTCGGGACTGGGAGTCAAAGGCATCAAAGATGGGGAATCCCCCGCAGGAAGCTGTGACACTGTCTGACTCTCTGGAATTCAAGTCACCCATGTGAACCCAACTTCACAATTAGCTCTCCATCAGAAAAGAAAACAAATGGCAGCATCCCAGGGACGATAAGACTATTAGGAGACAGAGCAACGTTGTCAAGAGCGTTCTGAAGTCAGGCTGGGCGTAAGCCTATCTCTATCCCTCTTTGACTTGCCCGAGTATAACTTCACCGAGCCTGTTTTCTTGTCTGGGGAAAGTTCATTTTAATATCTTCCCTGCATGGTAGTTGGAAAGATTGGTAAACATGAATTCATGTTCCCCTAGAGAGCCTGTGCCCTGAGGCACTTGTCCACACTGCCTTCTCCCAGTCTATAGATGATCTCATGGCCACTGACTTCAACCATAATAGCAGGAGCACATGTCTCCATCACGTGGAGCTGCCAGCCTGCCAAGCGGACAGACCTCCTGTTGCTTCTCACCATGCTTCCCTGCGTTCTGGTGGGTATAAGTAACACACTCGTCCTCTCTGACCTCCTGTTTACAATCCCATACTGACCATCCCTCTCTGTTAAGTCTTCCTTCAGACAAGACCAATACTATGTATTAGATGTCAATTTTTTTGGAGCGTAGGATGTTTACAGACAAGCTGAGTTACTTCTGTAGATGCCTAATCTCATCGTTATGTATGACGTTTACCAGTTTAATATTCACAAAATGGGTCTTAGACAGCAAATCAAAGTGTCGTGGGTTTTTTTTTGTTTGTTTGAGACAGGGTCTTGCTCTTGTTGCCCAGGCTAGAGTACAATGGCGTGCTCTCAGCTCCCTGCAACCACCACCTCCCAGGTTCAATCAATTCTGCTGCCTTGGCCTCCCAAGTAGCTGGGATTACAGGCATGCGCCACCACATCTGGCTAATTTTTGAATTATTAGTAGAGACAGGGTTTCACCATGTTGGTCAGGCTGGTCTCAAACTCCTGACCTCAGGTAATCCACCCACATTGGCCTCTCAAAGTGCTGGGATTACAGATATGAGCTACCCCGCCTAGCACAAAGTGTTGGATTTTAATTCGGTCAATTCCCATCCAGGTGATCCTTAACAAGTTACTTAGCCTGTCTACATCTCAGGTTGCTCATCTGTAAAATGAGGATAATTCCCATACTCTGAAAGGCTGCCGTGAGAATACAATAAAATCATGAAATATGTGATTTTTAAAAAACACATTTTGAGTTTGTGCCAGGTGACATTACATGCTCAATGAATTTTAGTTTCTCTCCCCGAGTTGTTCTGAACACCCAAAGTCATTCCTTTATTTCGATAACATTTGGGAATTTTCCAGCACAGTCTTTAAAAACAGGGAAGAGCTATGAATTATCTCCCTTTTATCTCTTTTGTGGGAGGAAAATCTGTTCATCAGTTAAACTAATATTATTCAACGGTCTGCTTCAGACTTAGTTTTTTTGTTTTTTTTTTGTGGGGGGAGGTTGTTTTGTTTTGTTTTTCTGTTTTATCTTCCTAAGAGAATAAAATGCAATAAAGAGAAAATAAATGGTGTGGGTGAATAGAAAAACAGAGAAGTCAATAGAAGTTTATAAACTATCAGGAAAATATCATCCAAGCTGTAGACAACTTCTGACAAATGTAAGAAACTCATGAAAATTTTAAAAGATCTGTATTTTACCCTAGGGTTGCAGAAGACTTCTACACATGCACGCCCTGACCAGACACTACTATAACAATCTCTCCTTTTCCTTAAGGGAGAGGTTAAGAGAAAACTGACATTTTACACACTCTAAACACTCAAAATCAGTTTTTACCCTCCCTCTTCATTTACCTTCTCAGTCTCTGAGCTAGCTTTCTAACTCTCTGGCAACATCCAAAGGCCTATTTCTTTTTTAAAGAGGGTCTGTAATAGCTAAAACAAACTAGGTAAATCTGTTTTTCTCTAGAATGAGCTTTAAAACTGGAGTTAGCTCTTGCTGAGGGAATAGAGCTTTCTTGGTACACAGCTTATTTTGAAATAAATGAGGCAATTCTGGATAATAAATTGGCTTTAATTCACTTATCACACTGAAGGAATGTGAAAATGAAATTGGGAAACTGCTGCACTGGTCCTTGAGGAATTTAGGAGAACAGGAGACATGCCAACACACTAGAAAGACAAATATAGAATTTATTTTATTTAAACAGGAAATTAGAAATGGAAAAAAGACAATAGTATTTATTAAGAACTCCACTGTGGGTAAACCATGGAAAGGTAGAGGTCATAAATGTCTGAGGCCAGGCACAGTGGCTCATGCCTGTAAGCCCGGCACTTTGGGAGGCCAAGGCAGGGGGATCATCTGAGCTCAGGGGCTCAAGACCAGCCTGACCAACATGGTGAAACCCCATCTCTACAAAACTATAAAAAAATTAGCCAAGCGTGGTGGCACACTTCTGTAATCCTTGCTACTTGGGAGGCTGAGACAGGAGAATTGCTTGAACCAAAGAAGCAGAGGTTGTAGTGAGCCAAGATCGTGCCATTGCACTCCAGCCTGGGTGACAGAGCAAGACTTTATCTCAAAAAAAGTAAAAGTAATAAAATTTTTAAAAATATGAATGTCTAGATTTTACCAAAAGGATTTAAGACAGCCTCTCCTGATTTCCATGTGTAGAAGTGGAGGCTGCAGGCACACACCAGTGGGACAGGTAGGTGGATTCGTAGCTGGGGAATAACAGCTCCAGGCCAAATGACTCTAAATCCTAAATGGTTACAGGGAAGGTCCCAGTTCCCTAATGCAGGGCTCTTTCCTTTGCCCTGTTCTCTTCAACATAATGGCTGACAGCATTGAGACCTAAAAATGTTCCAAAGGGATGAGACTAATATACCACTGTTATATATCAAGACAAAGTAGAAATAACTAAACAAAGGGAAAGCAGAACAATATACCAGCAGACTACAGCTATTCGGCAGGAAAATCTAGCTCATGGAGGAAAAGATGTCACACATTGGACAAGGGAGTAAGAAGGTCCTTGAAGACAAGAAAAGACAAAGACAGAGAAAGCTCTCACTGAAAGGGCCTCCAAGGGATGAGGGCAATGGCGCACGCTGGCCTCTGTGGCTGTCCTTCACAGCAGCATCTTTAAGGATGCAGCCCAGTGGTACTGTTACTTTCTAGAATCTCTCAGCCACCTCGGGAGACCCACTAACAGGAAATTTTAAGAGTAAATGTACATGAATGAGGGAGAAATGTACAAACAGCATCTCTAGCTGATTATAGGTGAACTATTTTCTTAGGGTCAAAAATCAACTCCAAACTGGTTCCCAAAAGATCCTCCTTCCTGCCTAGATCTTTGTCTCTGAGGTCGAGTGTTAACATCTACAAAGGCAACAGTGCTAAGCCACACTAAAATGTTCAGTAGGGTAGGGCTGGGAAGAGGCAGAGAGAGAGAAACCCCAGGACCTAGCGATCATCCCAAAGCAGAAAGATGTGTCATTTTGGCAGGATCCACCAAGAGAGTGCTACGCTTTGCGGGCTGGAGTAGCCTAAGGATTGATAAGTAGGACACACATAGATGCCTCTGAATCTATAGAAAGCCCACACCAGCTGTGTGCAGAGTATCAAGGGTTTCAGCTTTTCATTATCAATAACATCTTTACAAGAGAGATTTTCTTTTTACATACTTACTATTGGAAGTCTCTAATCAGCTTTGTTTTAAATCCATCAATTCAGAGATTATGCTTGTGGGCACATTTTCAATTATACTACTTATCTTGGGAGAGGACCAGACAGGATTAAAATCCTTCCCAGCCCCCAAAAGAGCCCCAATGACAGCAAAGGGTAAGTCTAGGAGGGAGTAGGAATGGGGTGAAAACAATGAGACTTCAGGGACACTACATGAATCCCTACTCCTTCTAGGTGAGTTTTAAGATTATTTGTGGGGTTTTTTTCAGTCATCAGGCTGTGTAGAAGTGGAAGCCAGAGGCACAGATCAGTGAGACAGGTAGGTGGATTCATAGCTGGGGAATAACAGCTCCAGGCCAAATGACTCTAAATCCTAAATGGTTACAGGGAAGGTCCCAGTTCCCTAATGCAGGGCTTTTTCCTTTGCCCTGTCCTCTTCAACATAATGGCTGACAGCATCGAGATCTAAATATGTTCCAAAGGGATGAGACTAAAATACTACGGTTATATATCAAGACAAAGTAGAAATAATTTAACTAAACAAAGGGAAAGCAGAACAATATACCAGCAGACTACAGCAATTAGAAACAGGAAAATCTAGCTCATGGAGGAAAAGATGTCACACATTAGACAAGGGAGTAAGAAGGTCCTTGAAGACAAGAGAAGACAAAGACAGAGAAAGCTCTCACCGAAAGGGCCTCCAAGGGACGAGGGCTACAGATTCACTTAACTTTGTTCTCAAGCAGAACTACATACACATGGCCACGAAGGCCATACAAAGCTGCCTTTCTTATAACCTCCTACAATGCTGAACATCACAACAGGGACTCTGTGCACCCAACAAGTGCTTCAGTGTACTGCAGAGAGCTGCTCTGATGATGGCTGAGATCACTGAGCTGAGGCTGCACACCTGGGTCTCACTTAGCCTGGTGATGAGACAAAAAGAAAAGGAGTTGTTTCTCTGCACTTCCTATTTCCTTTGTGTTTAAATTAGACATGACATTAGAAAACACATTGTTGGCCGGGCGCGGTGGCTCAAGCCTGTAATCCCAGCACTTTGGGAGGCCGAGGCGGGTAGATCACGAGGTCAAGAGATCGAGACCATCCTGGTCAACATGGTGAAACCCCATCTCTACTAAAAATACAAAAAAAAAAACCATTAGCTGGGCATGGTGGCGCGTGCCTGTAATCCCAGCTACTCAGGAGGCTGAGGCAGGAGAATTGCCTGAACCCAGGAGGTGGAGGTTGCGGTGAGCCGAGATCGCGCCATTGCACTCCAGCCTGGGTTATAAGAGTGAAACTCCGTCTCAAAAAAAAAAAAGAAAACACATTGTAAACTCCAAAGTACCATGAAATGAAATGTTTTACTAATGCTGCTTCCTACAATTGATAGCATGGTCTTATCCCAATAGCTTATGGGTCGAATATTGTTATAGTAACAACAGCCCACTT